GCTCCATCCAACCTGGCCTTGAACACCGTCAGGGATGAAACATTCACCACTGCTGTGGGCAACCTGTTCCAGTGCTTCACCACCCTTGCAGTAAAGAACTTCTTCCTTATATTCAACGAGATAGCCAGAGCTGCAGCATGGTGATAACACGCAGCGAGAAAAATCAAGGTGTGAGTTCCAAAAAGCCTTACAGGACCTCTCCAAACAGACCTGGTTTAAACCCTGAAGCTCTGCCCTTTGCAGACTCCAGAACAGCCTGCTTGCAAAACACATTGTCTCCCTTTGTAAGCCAAGCTGGAAGAAGTTAGGCCATGTCTCCTGCTACAGATACTGAGTGCACCCTGTGGCCCCTGCCTGGGCTTGTTAGATCCTGAAGAGATGAATGAGGAACGAACTCCTTCATAGCAACTCCCTGAGCAGCTGGAGGTGCTTTTCACTGGCTTTTGAAACAGCCCTTGGAGTGATTTCCCATTGATAGGGAATGTTAACAAATCCATAGAGTAGCGATGGTTCGGTGATGATTGCGACCGGCAGTCTTAAGCAAGAGCTGTCACAGTGAGAGGGTCAGCTTTGGGAGCCGGGTCCTTTACTCCCCAGGGATGACTGCCATGAGTCACTTCGTGCCACCACCTCTCAGCTCTGAGCCCTACCTGAGCAGCCGCTTTTCCCCAACCCTCAGTTCCGATTTCCTCCTCAGCAGAGTAGAAGGTGCCATCTACAGGCACAGCATCCGCACTACAGCCTCTGGGTCTCCGCTGCCCGGGCCGGGCTGGACGCGCTCTCCTGTCATGCCACCAGACCCTGCGCTGGGTCCCCTTCCCTGCAATGAGGGCTCGGAGCTGCTTGTCCCGGTTGTTCACTTTTTGGGATCAGGGACTTCCCAGAGAGCTGTGTCAGGTAGAAGACTTGGGGACTCCTGTGTGCAACCTTGATGGTAACCCAGGAGAGCAAGACGAAAGCACAAGGGAAGGTGATCACCATTTGTACAGCTGCAAAGGAATGAGCAAGCAGGTCACAGGATAAATTTGATCACACTGTTGCCTCAGGGAAAAAACCTGGAGGGCACCGATGCTGCTTGCCCAGCAGTCCAAATTCCAGCCCCACGGGTCTACCTGAGCTGCTCCTTTTTTGTGTTCTTTGCTCTTCCAGTTGCCTTTCATTTAGTCCATTGCGGCTGGGTTCACATGCCTGTAATTTAATGAGGAAAATAAGAAACCATAGGAAGAAGGACAAACAGCCCCTAACAAGTTCTCTTCTGTGTAACTACAGGACAGTAAAGAATGACTCCTGATCAGATGGAGTTAGGGGGCATGCAAGGGAATGCAGGCTCAACACGGAAGTGCTTATACTTTGGCTGTGAAGAGCTGCTGCTGCTAAGGTCAAAAATAAGGCTACAGATCTCTGAGGTGATGTATTCAAAAAGGGAGCCAGGACCTAGAGATGAAGGTCCAACAGGCCAACCACACATTGCTGTCAAAACTCCTGAGGTTCCCCCACTAGAGATGCAGGAAAGCTCTACCCATCTCACCAAGCTGAGGGCTTGCCAGTGTAGCAGAAGAAAAGGCGATGCTGAAGAGCAGAGCTAACACCAGGCACACATGCTGGCTCCTCGTACACAGCCGCAAGCCTGGCACTTGCTCCTGCTTTAAAGGTCCTTCTCAAACCCAAGCTTTCTGCTTCATATTAAAATCATTTGTCAAAGAAGACGCTGCAACATGCGCTGTTGGGTAGCCAAAGCTGTGCAGCACAGAGTGAGAGGGGGGTTACAAAATCTGGAAGCAAAGCTGAGCTGGAGGGGGGGTGTGTGTATGTTCACCCCATGAATCAGCAAGCTGGATGGCAAAGGGAGCAGACCCGCCGGCTTGCTCAGCTTTGCCCAGCCTGCTACAGGCACACTGGAATTTGCACTCAGCCAGCCCCAGATACTCTACCCCCCACACTCCATGGCATGATAAATTAGAAGGAAAACTTTCTCTTCTCAGTTTGTTCTCACAGTGCCGTCCAACAGAGCACAAGCCTGTCTAATCAGAAGCTACAGTCCTTCACCATCTGTTTAGAGCCTAATTACAAATGCAGAAAAATAATGTGCTTTACAATTGCACCAGTAAATGCTGTAAATGATTTAAATGCATGCATATGTTCCCCGCAGAATTCAGCATGCATCTGCGACTTCTTCTTCTCACATTAGGCACACAAATCAAGGGAAAAAATACCCAGATCTGACGAACAGCATGTCCCTAGGATAGTGATTTTTATCCCTTTTTTTCCCCCTGCTGGAATGGCAAATGGGGCTTTTTTGTAACAATTCATTCAACAGCGTTTTCTTCGCTTCCATTTTAAAAACTGTTTATCACCGTTGTGTAAATATAGTACAAATTACTACATAAAACATGTAAAATGAGAACAGCAGCCGGGCAAGCCTGCAGCTGGCTGGTGAGGTTTCAAAGCTGAGGTTTTTCTCTGGGGCACCTATGAAGGGGCAGGATCAGCTTGGCTCCTTTGCTGTGTACTGTGGCCCTCCCCAAGCCCCCAGCAGAGGTGATGACCAGTGGCACTTCAAACCTTTGACTTGCACCTCTCTTTTCAGAAGGATGCTTACCACAAAGCCACGAAGGTTGGCAAGCTTCAACCCTGTGTATAAAAGCATGAATACCTAGAAAATACCTTTCCATGGCTGCAGAGAGGAAGGCAGCAGCCTTTTGAAGGGGTAGGTATCAGAGAACATCACCTCATCTGTGATGGGGTGAAGGCTCTCCGCATGCTGCCCAAACTACCATGCAGAACAGGATATTGCTCAGGGACCCTGCTGCCCATAGAAATGAAGCTGCCATAGGGTGGTAATCAAGAACACGGTCATGCACACTGGCTCCTGACTGGCCATGGGCCCATCAGGAGTTTCGTCGGAATACCTGGTACCATGTACCACCACTCTAACAGCCCCTGCTCCCACAGTCAAGCCACCAAAGGCAATCCTACTCCAGCTCTCTAGGTTTTTGACCTGCAATGCATCACAGCAAAACGCTGAAAGGGTGACTGCTGCCCCAAAACACACAGTGGAGCTCCTGAGAGGCAGCAGAGCTTCTCTGGTCATCACCAGGGCGATGCTGAAGGATAATGAGGTTGTTTTAAAGATGCTTCCCCCTCCCAAGGGCAATAGTGCTATGCCAAAGCCTCTATGATGCAAAGGCTGGTATCACAGATGGAGAGGTGGCAGCATTTCTACCCTATGGGGTACTCCACTGAGTGGGCACAGGCCAGAAAGGCTTTGGAGTTCAGAGAGAAAGAAGGAAAGTCACTTGCAGCTGATGGGAGATGAGAATCACTCTGTAACAACAGTTTCCTTTCCTCCTAGAGTGTGTGTTTGTTGGCTTTAAAGCCCAAATACCTACACTTAAATGCTTCAGCTCCAAAAGAGGGAGGACTAGCTGCACCACTAAGCTGAGAAAGAAGACAAAAGAAAAGGTTGGGCGTATGCTCACTTAGCCTCCTTTGAGCAGAAGCTGCAACAGATGCATCTCCTCTGGTTTCTGCCCTTTCATCCAACCACCTCCTGCTCCCCATGCCCTCCTGTCTTGCTGGTGCTGCTTTGCCAGTTCACAGCTTTTGTCTCCCTACCACCAACTGGATTTAACAACAAAGCCCATTGGAGAACCCAACATGGGGCAGAAGCAGCATCCTCACCATGACAGGCTGCCAGCTCTCCACAGAGCTGGGAGAGCGCAGTGGCTCTCCATCCTTTGGCTCATTTTGCCAGTGGTGCTGGCCTCAAACGCTGGGCAAATGGCAGCTCTGCTACTTGGCACCATGCAGGGATTCATGACCATCTTTTATTTAGTTTTACTTTGTGGGCCCACCCTCAAGTGCCTGCATCATTTTATACCCACTGGTGAGACAAGGCCAAGCCCTGCAGTACATGGTCCTTCCTCTCCCAGGCACTTCACAACACATTTTCCTTGGCTGAAAGACGGTGTAAACATTTACAACCCTGCTAGGCTGTCTTAAACAGGTGAGGGGATGGTGTTAATTAAATCAATAAAACCTGGCAATGTGGACGGGTGATGAAGATCAATGGATCCAGCTCAGCTCCCAGCCCTGTGCATAGCTGAGGTCTTCCTCTGGATCTCAAGTGTCCCTGGTCCAAAGAAAGACCTGGGGAGCAACTCCCTCTTGTAAAGCTCATCGAGACCTAGAAGGAAAAATGTAAACTCCTAGCTAAATATCATGAAGTAGGTTTTGACCCCCACAGCATTTCTGCTGGCTGTCCCATCTTGATTCTGGTGTAGAGCATGTAGCATGCATCATTCCTGAACTGGAAACTGGGGTCGATGGCTGCATTCCTTACCAAAGATACATTATTTAAAGCCATCAAGAAATAAACTGTCATTGCATTTCAACTAACACATCCAAGATACAGCATATTTCATTCTGCCTTGCAACTACTGTTTCTCTTGTCATTCTGCATTTTCTTACATGCAGGAAGATGCATAAGATGCATCTTCACCCAGGCAGTATATGGCAGTAATTACTTCCCTGTTACATGCTCTTATATGCAACATCCTATAAACTACCCATCCTATTTTGCAGGGGGATCACCCACACACTCATGGCTGCCTGTCACCATCCATCCTTGTACTCCACCAGTGGTCCCTGCTTTGTATCCTGACCTGATTCTTGCTCAATTTGAACCTGTACTGTTTTTTCTTCCCCTCATTTCTCTACTTAGCTGAATACTATCAAAGACAAAGAATATATTCCCTTTTTGCTTGCTTCCCCCTGTAGATGCAGTAAGTATGCTCTCCACACTTACCTGCAGGTCATTTGGAAATATTAAATCAGAATAACCAGGCAATTCTGTCAGGGCTTCTTCACCTGGCCCCTGTCAGTGATTTCTCAGTTTACAGCCCAAGCTGGGACAGAAGGATGACCAGAAGGAAAAATGGACGCTAAAACTTCACGCATCAGCGCTGTCTTGAAGAGAAATCACTCCAGACACCAGCAGCTGACAGTATCAAGAATTAACTTTATTGGCAGTGGTATTGCATAATTAAGTTCTGTCTCAAGAGGTATTTGGTCTGTAACATGAAGGAAAGGATCAGCAGAGGTGCAAAGCAGTCAGCAAACAAGCAGAATCTCATCACACCTGGGACCGGGGGTAAAATGTTTAAGTTGAGGAGAGCAGACCACATGGCAGGCTCTCAAGTGGGAAGCACTGAAGGCCACAGAGAGATGTTTCTGTTGCCAGCAAGAGGCTGGCTTGGGCTTTTCAGGCACAGCAAAGTACTGCATTACTCCAAGTAATGCTCCACCACCCACAGAGGTGATGGGGGTGCTTACCCCCATGAGCAGCACCTAGCTGGCGGGCCAGCATCACCACCCTCAGCCCTTCAAGATGATGTGGACCTTCACCTGGATCAACACTTTGCCAAAGCAGCCCCTGGCCAAGTGTCAGGGGCTGAAGGGCTACAAACCTGTTGGAGCAACAGGATTAGAAGCCCACACGTTCAAAGTCATTGCTGTAAAGCTGCTCCTCGGTACTGCACACCCTGTAAATTTTCTACTCGTGTCTGTATTTTATGTTTAAATAAAAATAAGCCATAAAGCAAAACTGTGTCTGTATGCCAACGAGCTACCAAACTAAACACTGGAAGGGATTTATATAAAAGCACACATCAAGCCTACACATCACCCCATGGCAACAATCACCACTGGTCCCTGCTGTTTGCCCAGCAGGGCCAGGGCAGGCGCAGGTGGAAAGGCACCAGCCCTGCATCCTTCCTGTACCTACCACATCCAGCACAGCATAGAGACAGCCTGGCAACTCAGACCAGCAGCTTCACTGCTATTCTGTCAAGCAGAAGATGCTGAGAGCATCCCATTAACAGAACATCTGCTAATAACCCAGTCTTAAAGGAAGTATTTTCCATAGATAGCATCCCTGAGGCATCATAGGCAATGCCAAGTTATGCCATTACATCCTTGCTTCCCACTTCACCTCTCCTAGACCACAAATCTACATCATTTGAGAAAATAAATACAATAATTGTCCAGGCGTATTTGCATGGAAGTTACTTTAAAAGCCAGACCTCTTTGTGTGGGCCATATTTTTGGGTGTCACAGTATCTCAGCCCTCTGAAAACATCTGAAGACCATATACCTCCTAGGTAAATTGATCGGCTTTCTGCTGTGAACATCACATCAACGCCTCATACTTCTCCCTGGCTTTTATAGACCTTTCTCAACGCAGACTAAAGGCACCTTAAAAACCCTGGGTTAGGGCCACTTACCATTGCACTTTCCTTGGGGTTCAGCTGCAGACAGGTAAGTTGGTGTCCACAACCATCACACCACAGTCACAGCTGAAGAAATGATCTTGGGTTGGCCATGACACACAGCCCTGGCACTACTAGCACTGTGCTGGGAGTAGATGATCCCTCAATTCAATCTTAAAAAATTAAAGCAAGCACAAGTCCAAATGGAAAGGTTTCCCTTTTTGTGGCATGAATGTGTGAAATAAATACACCCGAAATTGTGCCCTGCTCCCTGGTGTGGCTGCTATCTGCCCTCAGAGCTTCCTTGAAGGTGCTCCAGGGCTCAAATTCCCTTAAGTTCAGCACCCGAGTTTGATGAAGGGGGATCCCCCTGAGATCACCAAAACACTGCAGGGGTAAACTCAAAACGATAAGGCAGCAAGTCCCAAAGTGCCATCAAAAGCCTTGGCTTCAGTTTAAAACCAGCGTGGTGGCACCAGCTAGCCACCCTTACCCACTGGCACTGGGGCGAGGGCCAGGTTTCCCTGTGCCCCCTGTGCTTTCCTGAGCTCCTTGGGGAGGACAAGGCTTTTTTGGTCCATTTGCTCCAGTCAAGATGGAGAATGACAAATGTTTGACAGTACCTCCCAGGCACAGAGGACACCCCTTCCCAGAAGGAGGACTTTCCTCTTGGATGCAAACCCCTTCTTCCCCTCAGCAAGACAGGCAGCGTGGTGGGCCTGGCTTTTGGGGGAAAAAGTCCTAAATACCCGACAATGTTACCACAAAACGAGGGCTTTCCCCCCAGCTGCTCCTCTAAATGAGGTGGACAATGAGAACAGAGAAGGCAGACCCCACAGCCAGCCCCACCATGAGGTAAAATGTCATCACCACCCCTGCCGCCTCAGCCAGCTCTTTTGGCACGATCTTGGGGCCATAGATGATGACCAGTGTCCCCAGGTAGCCATTGCTCAGCCCCAGCAGCACTGTGAAGACCACTGGGTAAATATCTTGGTTGAAGACTACCATCTGTATCTGAGCCCGGGGCTGGTAGTTGCTGAGGATAAAGAGAGGGAGGAAGATGGTCCTGAGGAGGACAAGGGTAGGCAGCAGCTTGCTCTTAGGACCAGGCATCTGTATCCAGGCAGTGATCTGTCTCCCACACCAGTCAGCAAAGTTGTACAGGAGGAAACTGGTGAGTGGAGCAAAGTACTTAGTGCTCCATGGGCTTCCTGAGGACTTGCTGACCGACTCAATGTTGGATGAGAGAGAAGGGAAGATGATGATGGAGATGAAGAAGATGTAGAAGAGGCAGAAGCCAAGGAGAGCGGTCTTCTGCAGGATGGGGCAGAGCGGTGGGATGCCTGTGCTTTTTGCAAGGAAGGAGGTACTTGTGGTGCCTTCTGGCTCTGCCTCATCTTCCATAGAGCTGTCAGGTGGCACAGTGGCCAGGGAAGGGCTCTCCTCCTGGCTGTTCATGTAATACCTGGAGAAAGAGAAGGAAGGAGATTATTAGCCAAGTGCATGTGGGAGGAATACAAACTGAGATTTGGAGAGAGCAGGAGAGAAGCTGGCTACGCAGGGATGTCTGCTGGACCCAGTGAAGGTAATTGCAGTGACCCCTATCACACATCCAGCTCTCACCTTGTAAGGGGAGGTGACACTCAGGGATCCACCATCCCCTCTTCCCCACTGTTGTATCCCTTTCCACCCCCAGTAGTTCACAAAGAGGACCCACTGTAGCAGGCATTTGAGGGGGGCAGGTGGTTTCAGACAATGCACACATAAACAAGACCAATGGGTCAGGCACATCATGATGTTGCATGATGTTGTAGATACAGATGCCCTACATGGACCCACCTAGATAGCTGCTTCCAGTCTATGACGCTCTGCTGACTTCATGCATTTCAGAAGCCTCTATCCCCCAGTGAGGCTTGCCAGAAACTCAGCACATGCTGGGCCAGATGCCCAGTTTCAGTCTGTGGTTTTGGTTAAACAGGGAAGTGTGGCTGATGCAGCACAGCGCTGGAGCTGAAGCATGCAGGATGCAGGATGGGATACTGGGAGGGTGACGGGGCAGAGACTGGCACAGCAGGTACCCCATGGGTGCCCCCAGCAACCCTGCTCGGCATCGACTCTCAGCCCATGGGATGTGGGATGCCCACGGCAGGCAGGTGCACATACCTGGAGTACTCCAACCTGGGAAGGAGGAGGTACATCATGATGCAGAAGACGATGAAGATGTCAGCGGTGAGGAAGTAGGCCAGGGCACTGTCAGTAACATTGTCTGCTGCAGCCAGGTCTATCACAGAGGCAATGGCGCTGATGGTGCCACCCATGGCCTGACCTGTGTGAGAGATCAGAGAACTGGAACTCAGTGCCTATAACTGAGCCAGCCTGACTGAGATGAGCACAGCTGGGAGCCATGGAGGTGGCAGTGAGCAACCCACAGCACCTCCAGTAAGGAGGAGTTAAATGCAGAGGGGAAAATGAGAGACAGCAGCAACCTCTTATTAATACCTCCTGGTATGCACAAACCCCTCAGGAAAAGCAGCTCAACCCCTGCCCCACATGCTGGTCCCAAACCTAGCTCAGGATGCAGCTGCACATACCACCCTGTCCCCATTTCCATACCTTGCTGCAACACAGTTATTTGCGGCACTACATCGCAGCCAAGGTCCCATCCTGCACCCCCTTTCAACGCAAACATGGCAGTACACAGGGGTCAGGATGTGAACCAACCTGCTGGGCTTGCATGTGCTGAGTCCTGCAGAGAAAGTCTAAACCCTGCCCACAGCCTAAACCTTGCCTTCCACCAGCACACATATAAACACCTCTTAAACACTCCCCCAGTCAGGAGTTGAAGCCACCAGCAACAGGTATGCCATCTTGGGGATGCAGTGACTTCTCCCACTGGCCTACACTCATTAAAACACTCCTGTCTTGGCCCCAGGAAAACTCCTTCATTTTGATGTTTCCCCCCTTCCCATCTTAGTTTGTCAGCCGTTCTGCAGCACATTTATAATGTTATCGAACCTCCAGGGAGCTCATCACTCACAGCTCCCAATATGCCTCTCATCACTGATGGAAACATGGAAATGCTGAACAGAAAGGAGGAGACAACGCAAAGTCGATGATTCCTCCAACTCCTTCTTCCCTTCTCCCTGCACAGAACAAATAATGAGGTCAAGCTGTCATGCTGGCTGTAGGGTGTTCACCCCCCAGGCAGGCATGGTGAAGGACCGCTGCTCTCCTCCCTCTGATGAGCCCTCAGCACTTTGGTTTATGGGTATTTACAGAAACAAAAGCACCAGCTCATGTGATTATGTTTCTTCCTCAGCAACTTCCCTTTATCCTTAAGGCAAAGTTATGTTTCTAAAATAAACCCCATGTGACAAAACACCAGATGCAGGAGAGAAAGAAAACCAACTACCCAGCCATAGGATTGTGAAAGAGCAGAATCCCACCAGGACAACGTGGCCGAGGGACACGAACCTGAGATCAGCGCTTGCAAGTTCCTCATGGGGAAGCAGCTGCTCAGACCAAAGATGCTGCTGGTGAAGACAGTCGAGGCACTGCTGACGATGGCCACACAGCTGATTGTGAGGGCAAAGAAGCGTGTGGTCCAAGCAGAGGTGTCGACCTTCACCAGCACCGTGATCACCAGGAAGACAGCCAGCATGACAAAGAGGGAGGACAGGATCCGGACACTGGCGGGCACCCTGGGGACAAGGGGATGGTGACACTCCTGTGTTTAGAACTATAATGTGAAGGTGTGATGAGAGGACACCAACCCTCTGCTGTGAGAAGGATCAAAGAAAAGTGAGGGGAGAAGAGGAATAAAAAGTAATTATTTTTCTCAGAAGCCTTTAGATGTCAACACTTTTGCTATCAGCAAGACTAAGTCTATAAGCCCAGCCAAGCTGTAAATAGCCATTTCTCCCAGAAATTAGCGCCTGTCTCCATCACCGGAGCAATGTACAGCAGCAGCGATAAAGCCTGCCTGGGAAACACAGCGGGCTGGGTGAAAGCAATCCCAGGCACGGCTACAAGATAATTACTTGTTTGAGCAAGAAAGTTGCTTATTACCTAGCCAGGAGAGTGTATGGGCTGGCCTGGGGGCAGGAGAGAGGAGAGAGGGAGAGGGAGAGAGGCAGGGAGCTGGACCAGTAGCTGAGATCTACAGATTGAGCACACACATTCCCCTTTGCCCACAGATGTGCAGCAATTTGATCTGGGATAAAGAAGGATACAAACAGATGGATATAGCTATGCTAGACAGAAGTTAAGCTTGCGATGTGGCACAGATGATCCATTTCTTAAATCAGTGCAGTAACTGGTAGGACTAGAGCAAGGTGTTACTCCTGGCCTGAGTGAGCTCAGCAGTCCTTAGCCAGTCCCCTGATGAAAACGATGGCAGTTTGAAGATGGAAGAACGTTTGCCAAGCAATTAACCAAGGAATTTATTATAAATTTATTTATAGTGGTGCAACTCAAAACAACTCCAAGCATGGGTGCTGCTGGTACAGTGCACAGTGCTTCACCCTGCTTCATCTCAGCTGGCTGCAATTCAGGCAAGGACAGATGAGGAGATTTTGGCCACAAAGAAGGCTGCCCTCACAATGCCCTGTGTACTCCAAAGCTTCCCTTGACAAGGGAAGGGGAAGCTGAGTTGGGAGCCACAGCTGAAGCCAGAGAAAGGCAGCAGCGACACAGGCAAAGCTGGGGAGAGCCACAGGTAATGGCTGACCTCGGAATAGAGCAGCACTTACTTGTTGATAACCAAGAAGTTTCCAATCAGGCACAGCACCGAGGGCACAGTTGAAGCAATGGAGATGTAACTCTCAAAAAAGTCCTGCCACGTAAACAAAACAAAATCAACCAACCAACCAACTAACCAAAACCCAAAATCAAACAAACAAGGTGTGGGAGAACAACACATGAATTTCAGTTCCTAAATACAGCATGATACGGCATGCATGGGGGGTTATGATGCAGGTGTCCACCTTGTTGCATCTTAGCACATGCTGCAGAACTGCTCAGGCCAACAGCAGGAAGTGGCCCCCAGGGCTTTCTCATCCTGCAACAGCCAGAGAGCCCTGGAATATTTCAGGAAATTAGGGACATAAATTCAGAAGCAATAATGGCGAAGGAAATACCTGTCTTACTGCCGCACTGCCCACATGGGACAGCACCGAAAATGAGGAGGTCTGAATTTCTCCTGCTGGCTGCAGCACCCTGGACAAACCTCATGAACATTTTATCCTATTCTCTGTGAGGGCTGTTTGTTATAAATCAGGACACGAAACCATTCATATTTTTAGCTAACTGCTTTGAAAGTCCGCAATGTCTAGCAAACCTGTGCATCTCTCTCCACACAGCATGACCAGGACACCATGCCCAAGAACATGCTTGAGCAAAAGCAGCTAAAGTGAGGACACAAGGACATTATTTTCACACCTGGTCTCCCTCTCTGTGTGCATAAAACTCATTGAAAAACTATATTGAGACTCAACACACACTTACTCCAAGGACTTATGTATCATTCAAGCAAGCTGGCTGCAGCATCAGTCTATATTCAGCAGCCCACCTCGCACAGAGGTCAGGCCGGGCACACAGAAAGCAATAACCACAGCAGAGAGAGAGAGATTTCTTTGCCAAAACTGCAGCCAAATGCTTACATTTTCAATCCATTTTACGTATGATGCTGTTAAAGCCTGTCTGCTCCACGGTCTCCCTTGAGGTGCTAAATCTGCTCATTTTTTTTCTGCAGGAATCTCAACCAGCAGGTAAGACAATGCTCGCAAAGAGGGTGACCTACATATTCACCCCCACTGCAATGGGCTTTCTTTTTTCTCCAGTTACCTAGCTACAGAGAAGGGGCCACATCACATCTGAGCGTAAGAAAGCACTTGGCACGTTTTCTCTGCTTGTAACTCTCTTTTTTCAGCTTTGCATTGTAGTAATTTAATCAGTTTACAATCACGTTAATTTAGTCTTCCCTATTAGGAGCTTTACTGTAAGCAATGAGAAATCTAATAATCCCTTCTAGAGGGTCCATATAGACAGAGACATAAATGCCTGCACTTAACAGCATCAGTTTGGCAAAGCAGGAGGCTCAAAGGTCTACCGCCATACAGTGAATTACAGGAAAAAAGACAAAGCAAAATGCAAAGTTGGCTGCTAAAACTATTACTTATTTACCAACCTACTCAAAACAAACCACCAAACCAGCCTGGGGATATTAACTATACTTCCTAGCTAATTTTCTTTTGAGGATGAAAAACGACTTTATAACATTTTCACAAAGCAGAAGTGTACATGAAGTAATTTGGCAGAGATGCTGCATTTCAAGCACCCCCGGGGAGATCTTCATTCATTCCCAGCAAACGTGCTCACATCAGTGGTGAGAAGAGAACTGGTGAAGTATTTAAGAAACTGAGGAGCTTGCATCGCACTGCGAAATTTTATGCTGCCTTAGCTACAGTCAAACCCTGCTGGAAAAGAAAAGCCAAGTAGAAGGGTTTCAACTACATTACTTTTGTGAAGAAGGAAAGTCCTCACACCACATTTTTAATGCAGTAGCAGAATGGCAGTGTCAAATTTAATCCATGACCAGAGCAATGGAAAGTATCAGGCCCCATACCTATCTCACCTCTTTGCTCTTGCTCATTAGGTGTTAATCCAGCTCAAATGGTAACTCTTCTCCCTACATGGTTATTCCCATCCGTCACAGACGTGCTTTCAGAGCAAACTGTTGGCTATGCAAGATATACCTAGTTCTCTCTTTCTCCTGAGCCCTCCCTGACGGAGCAGCTCATCTCCTCCAGGCATCCCTTGCTCACAAGGGCCGAGCTCCTTATGGCAACATGGTTTTAGAGGGGAAACACAAACACTGAAAAGACTGTCACAGCTTTCCTAGCTAATAACAAATGATAATCCAGAAAGCCAACCTGACATCTTCCTCCTTGCCCAAAGCTGCCTTCCTGCCACCTCTGCTTCTCATGGGTAAAGGTGTCATACATACCTCAGGCATGGAGCTGAGGCACATAATGGAAGTGTTTGACCCTATATTAACTATAGCACCTTCAAATACATGCCACGACGCACGCTGTGCACTTGGTACTTTAAAAGAAAAAACTAACAAGAACAAAGCACTGCAGTGGCAAATTAGTCATCAGTGGTGGCCAGCACTGCCCACTGTTGCCAAGTAGTTTTTATTCTGCTCTAGCCTGGACTTGGCAGCTGGGCTCTCGCCAGGCTGGGAAAGCAATCCAGACCCATGGTGGCAGCTGAAGGCACCAGAGTGTTACCTGGAGCACAGGGCATGAAATTAGCAGCAGCGAGCAGGCTGGAGCCAAAAGCAGGCTGCCAGTCACAGGCACATCTTTCCAGAGTTGAGCTCGGTTTGCAGGTAAGCCCTCCTGCCGCAGCACCATGGCTTGCCATCCCAGGGGCCAACTGATTTGTTTTTGATCGACTCGACTGCCATGGAAGAGCCAGGTTTCTTGTCTCCAGAGAAGTAAAAAACATTGCACCTTGGCCATGCAGAAAGAGGAGGAACATCTGTTCAGTGAAGTAGTATCCTTCAAACACTTTTTGAAGTGATGATCTGACCAGGAATATAGCTGTGCAAGAGATTTTAGGAAGAATACCTTGTGATACTTACTCTACTTGAAACCAGTTTTTCAAGAATTGCCTCACATAAGCACGATGTAGAAGCAACAAGGAGTGGGTTGGATGCAGGGACTGTGGAAGGACATCATGCCACGTGGTGGCAGAGCACCCTTCACCCCCTTTTTGAGTACCCTTGCTAGCACAGGGACAGCCTATTTATGGTCTTTGGGCACCACAGGCACTTGTTCTCCATCAGTTTCATCCACCCGGTATCTCAATTTACACCAGCACACTGGTACTTCAGCATCCTGGTACAACTACCGCTGGTGACACTTTGCTTCCTCCCCATCAAAAACACAGCTGACTCAACAACTATTAAAATAAAAGCAGCCATGGACACCATATTAAAAAAATAATAGAGAAAACCTGGGTGTCACACCTGGCTCTGTGTTTATATAAAAATAAAATGTGCCCAAACCACTTGAACAAGCTTGGCAACAGGAAGAGGACATGATGCAGCCTCATCGTGCCAATACTTTTTCCAGCCCCAAAGAAATACCATTGCTTTGTCAGGGGGGCACAGGGAAATAATCCTGCCATGGCAGGAGGAGCAAGAGAAGGCAGCTTTTTTGGGGGAGAAATAAGAGCGGCCATCAAGCCTGCCACCCCAAGGCCAGCTCATCAGTCACCCCGTGACAAGCTCCTCATCCCATATGTCAAAAGCCAGATGTTTATCATTGCAGGAGATACTCTGGTCACATGTGCCAGATCTTGAAGGAAAAGCTGTAAAGCATCCAGGGGCACTTGAGACTATCACAAGCCATGTGGTCCAGGGCTCATGTTCCTGCAAAGCCCTGCTGCTGTTTCCAATAAATTACATGCTGCACCAGCCAGAGCAAGGGAGAAACCACCTAAAGCATGTTTGATGCCTTGCCGCTGGGCCAGAAGCTAAAAGCAATTCATCTCCCAGCCTGCAGGGAGTTGCAGCTGAGTCCACTGAGAAAGCACAGAGCCCCGTGGGGCTTGGGCACTCACCAAGCGTGAAGGACAGATTAAAACAAAAAAAACAGAAGAGATTTTTACCTTGCACCATAGAAATCATCCTATGAAAGGCAGCCTTGCTTAAGGGGCAGGTTAACCCAGAGTTTTTAAATGCACCTTAAACGTAGCACTTCAAATACAGGGAAAAGACAGAACAAAGTGCTACGCTTTTTGGTTTTAAGCATCTATCTTGTTCTCCCCAAATACACCTCTACCCCTGGGTGGCAGCAGGCAAAACCCCAGAGGACATTCACTCACCTTCTGGGAAAGTGGAAGGGGAAAAAAGAGCAAGTGGGGAAGCGGATGAGTTTTGTTTAAGGCCTTGGAAGCAGCATACTCACCTGCAGATCCGACGCCTGCTGCCCCACAGGGCCTGCCCGATCCGAGCAGTTTTGCAGCTTGTACATCCAGTAGTGCTTTGCTGTGATGAAAAAATTCCAGGGCAGCAGTGACCCGACGCCCAGGAGGAAAAAAATAACATAGGCCCCATGTAAGCGGTCGCTTGGCTTTTGCTGGCTGTATCCACCCAACAAGGGCTCCTCTGTCAGGGGCTCCTCATCGGGGTGCATGGTGCTGGCACGCTGCAGAAAACAATCACCAACAGAGATATTACCCGTGACGGTTGCAAACCGTTGCCTGCAAGTTACTATGTGCGGTTCCCTCCTCCTTTGGCCTGTGATCACCCAGCAAATGCTGGATGAGCATGCTGAACCAGCTTAGCACAAGGATGTTTGGACCCCTGGGAGATATGGGAGAAGTGAACTAATACATGGCAGAGACAGGCGCTGCCACCACAGCACCCATGTTGCCATCCTTAATTAATAACTAACCAATCCCTTCGGCTTTGCAAAAGCAGGAAACCTCAGCTCGTGCAAGGCTCCAAAACAACTAGGTTGTAAACTACCAACGCCGTGGGGGTGTGCAGGGAAACGCGCAAACTACAATAACACCATCAGGCTTTCGAAAATGACCTGTGAACTAATGCATCACCACCAGGCTCCGCAGACCGGCTTGTAAACTAATACAACATCATCAAGGCTTTGTAAAATGACTCATAAACTACCGTAACACCACCGGGCTTTGGAAAATGACTTGTGAACTGACGCAACGCCAGCAGGCTTTGCAAGGCGTGCGTAAACTACCATAAACTCCCGCAGCAACGCCGGGCTGTACAAAATGACTCGTAAACGACTACAGCACCGCCAGGCTTTGCAGAGCGGCGCCGCGGCAAGGGCTGAGCCAAGCGCAGGGGAAGAGAATAATGCCGGAAATGAGGGATTTTGCAAAGCGCGGTCGATTTCAGGAGGAGGAAGCCCCGCATCCCTCCGCGCGCCCAGCCACCTACCTAACCATCCCATCCCTCCCTGCACACCCGGGACCCCCCGCCGCAGCACTTACAGGGGCACCGCACGGCCCCGCCGAGCCAAGCGGAGACGGGTCAAGCCGGGCCGGACTGCCCCGCTCCGCCCCGCCGGGGGTGGGGTAACCCCGGCACGGCCCCGCGGGCGGTGCTGCGCGGCGCGGTGGGGCGAGGACGGGAGGTGGGCACGGTGCAGCCCGGCGGTACCCGGGCGCAATTGCACCCAACTGTCCCCTTAAGTTTTTTTTCGTCCGCTCTCACTTTTTCCGCTTGTTTTAAAACAATCTTTTACTTTATTTCACTTCTTGCAGGTGCACGGCAAGCAGCACTGCCCCCCCCCCCCTCCGGTTTAAACTAGAAACGCTCTGTCAAAATCAGTGTTAATCACTGCCTAGCTTACGGCGTAGCAATAGGAACATTCGTCAGGGCTTGTTTTCTTGGTGGAAGTCACCAAAGCACGAGTGCATCATCCCCTCCTGAGGATGTGAGGGTGGGGAATGGGGAATTCTTCTGTAGAATGGGGTGCTGCTTACCAGAGCCAGGACACTTTACTCGCTTCACTTCCTGCAATGGCCCATTAGGATGAATTTCACTGTAAAGCCCTCAACTTCCTCCGAATGACACTTGAACACTCACCTTCAGGGCATCATGGAACTGTGAAGGAAAACTTCATTAGCTTTTTTCCTCTCCCCCACCCTTCATTCCTGTATTCCTTCACCAAAGATGGGTTTGGCTCCTTGGGAGGTGGGCAGCTACATAGGAAAATTATAAACTGGTGGGACCCCAGCTTTTCTGCAACCCCATTACAACCAGATGTGCTTCCACTATTTGTTTGCACTTGTGTTGGCAATTAGTGGAGTTTTATATCTTAGGTTTCATGTTGCTGTTTACCTTTAGCCTTCCCGTCTGCTGTATCTAAGATAATGCTTTTCCTCCATTGCACACATATCCAGCTTCTCTTCACCAAAGCTAAATAGTACCTGTTTTTTGCAGAAGGCCCCAAGATGGTCTAGTCTGTATTTTTTTTCCATGTACAACCGCCTATGGGACGAATGCAGAACAACCCAGATACCTCAACTCCCTGCAGCAGCAGTGCACACAAAGCTGGCCACCGCCTGGGAGCCAGGACCAGCCACCACCCATCTCCAGCCTTGCTGAGCCTTCAAGGAGAACATACCGGTCAGCCCTGAACACGCAGATGTCAAAATAGCCCCAGACATATGCATGCTCTATTTATTTAGTTCTTTTGTGAGCAAAACAAGCAGAAGCACATGACCAACCCACTGGTGATGTGCTGAAATGGAAAGGCATGAGGGGAGCACATGGCTTTCCCTCCAGAGGTTTCTGCTTGGGATTTTCATCTGCATTGACATGCTGGTCTGGGAAAGCACCTGAGGAGATGGCACAGCCTATCCGAGTCAGTAACCCATCAGCTCAGAGAGATTCGCCTGGTATTTCTGACCCGCTGCTATCATGTCAAAAAACCCACTGCTGGAGAACACTCAGATCATATCAACACAAGGGACCGTGACAGCTGAGTAGGGGAAACAAAGACGGTTCACATTTAACTGAAGCCATGAGAAACCCCCTGAGTCAATACTACTTGAGAGACCCTCTGCAACACAGACCTCCACATGCACTTGGTGCAGATTGTAGGGACACTCCTGTGCTCAAAGTGGGGTTTGGGCTGTTTCCCCTCCACCCCAACCCCTCCCACAGGTTCTGTGCTGGCCCGGAGTCATGGCAAGCTGTGAAGGAGCAGGGAAGGTTTCATGATTATCCTAAAGGAGTACCAGGTATCCCATAGCACTGCTTGCCCTCCCTGTGCTGGAGGTGTAATGGAGCAGGGGGCATGTGAATAATGGTTAAGAGATTGGAATTTGTAAAGTGGGACTTATAGAGGAGGTCCTCCCACTCCTTGGTACAGCTTGACACTTCTACAGAGCAGCTTGTGGTGTAGGTGAACTGTAAAATCCAGTGGGGCTGGCCTAAAGGAAATTTCCTGAACATGCAATAGAAAACTCATGAGACCCTTGTGTGGGCTGCTCCAGTGCTCCCAGGCATCCAGCAGAATAAATCTGTCAGCACTTAGTGATGGCATGGCAGTCACTTACAAACCTGTTGTGGGGACTGAATTCAATATGTCAGCTGCAGAGAAGACTAGGGCCAGCTTAATTTTATGCTGAATTTGAAAGCTGTGTATTTCAATAGGAGATGAAATCAGGCACCAGTTGGTCAAAGCTACCCGCAGATTGGGCCTTTGGAAAGATGGGTGCAAAAGGTGCCCAGTGAAAGCAACTTGTAAGATGGAGGTTAAATGAACTAAGATGTAAACAGAAGAAAAGGTTATTACTTCTGAGAAAGTGTCTGCCTCAGCATCGTATTTAGAGCTGGAAAGCCCAGCTGGGAGGGTTTTGCATCTTTGCATGGCTCTGGTACAATTGCTGCTGTGACCGGGCAGCAATTTCCTCCCCATTTCTTTCACTGGTTGCAGAATACCCACACCTACCTGGAATAGGAAAAAAACACTGTCATCTCCTGGTGGGCCCAGGAAGAGTGGATAGGGGCAGCAAGACCTCACCTCTCCCTGCAAACCCTTCTGGCTTTGCTTCCTCTGGCAGAGCCAGTGTGATGGCACTAAGGCAGGGAAGCAGCATGGCAGAGGTGGTCCCAAAGGAGGGGATGGGGCAAGGCAAGGAGGCAGAGGAGCAAGGCAAAGTTTGTAGGACAGGATGCCCAAGTTACAGACTGCAGCTCCATACTCTGTTTCCCCCTCTCAAACTAGGCACCCTGGTCCTAGTTCTTCCTGGAAGGGGCATTGCTTTCTGCAGGATATCCCACAAGGAAGAGAATGAACTGCTTGAGATGGTGCTTTAGCCCATAAGATATGGTTGTAGCACTTGTCCCTGCCTTGTGATCACCCATGCGAGTCCAAAACAAACCATAAATCAATTGCTGCAGCTTACCTCCGTTAGGGACTCTGACAGCAACATCCTCTGCTGTTGGCACTGGCACGCCTGCAGCATCCGACCCAAAAACAGGTTGAAGGGATGCTCATGGAGACCCCTATGCTGCAGCTGCTGCTCAAGCTGAATCCAAATTCCTGGAGATGCCAAACCCAGCAGGAACTCATGAGTGATGAACACGGAGAAGTGAACAGATTGGGTTTTGTGGGTTTTGGGTTTTTTTATTAGACTAGGAAATATAATTTATTGCATAAAAATTAATTTGTTACAATAGGAATGCTAAACTTTATTTACAGTTCTTTAGTTTACAGAATAAACAGATGCAGTTTTAGAGGATGCCACTAGGCCCATCCCCTGGACATATAAATATGGAAACAGATTGCGGAGCAAGAGACGGACACTGCCAGCATGACACGGATCATGGGATTGCCTTTGCCAAAATGCCTGGGCATACAAACCCTCAGTCACGGAGGGAGGCATGGAGGGCACCTGGGAGCTGGCTCCCATGGGAGATGGGCAGCAGGCACTCAGAGGACCAGGGTGAGGAGCAAACCCTGCCTCCCCCTGTTCTGCTTCTAGTGCAGGTTCCCTGGTATGAAAAATGGGGAGAACCTCCCCAAACACACATGTTGGTGAATCCAGGAGGCTGCTGCCTGCCAGAAGAAGGGGAAGACGAACACAGACAGATGGGGATGGAGGCAGAGGCACCCACGGATGGGACGGATGGATGGACGGACAGATGGATGGGTGCACATGCCAGCGCAGTGATCCATGAACCAGAGACAGTGGGAATGAAAGCGAGAGAGATTCAGACACAACCCTAAAGAAGAGCATCTCATCTCACAGAGAGCACCCCAGCACTGAGAAAGGAGCCCTATAAAATGCCAGCAGCTGGTTTGATCCATCAGTTCTTCACTTCTTTCCAAATTTGCTTACTCCGCCTCAGCTCAGACATGGGGTGTCAGAAATCAGATGGTCAAATGCAACCTAAAGGAAGGACAAAACCCTTCCCACGTGACACAGGAGCTCACCCAGCAGAAGTCTTTCCATCTAGCACAGAGGAAAGAGATCCCCTCTCTCCCACAACCTTGAAAACCCAGAAAGAAAGGAATCCCAGAGACCCCAAAGTACAATAGGGCACTACACATCTGATCACTGCTTCAAAAGCTGCTGAGAGGAATCATCCCTGTGCCTAAGCAATACTGAAAACTGCTCCCGAGCCACCCTTCAAAGGTGATGCTCTCAGTCACGGCATGGCTCCCCAAGTCCTGAGTTTGCTCCAGTCCTCAGGGTGCTGCAGGATGCTGCATGCACCCTGTAACACCATACCTCGGCTTTGCAGCCAGGACACAGCTCATCACAGCCCAAAGCAGGACCTGCTCTCAGACCCTGCTCTTAATACTTCCACTGATGGAGATTCCACAGCCTTGCCATGTGATCTAGTCTAATCCTTTTATTCATTTATTTATTTTTAAACGGACATTTCTAAGATATAGCACTCGCTGAGTAACTATTTCTATCTGCAAGCAATCTAAATTTTTACCTTCATTGAAACACCGTATCTTTGCAAGACACCTTGTTCCTGCCTACCCCTTGATGACTTTCTATTCATCCCACAACTTCTCCATCATTATAAAAGGTCTATTACAAGGGAAAAAGGAGCTGCAATGAAGGATGGAAACCCTATCACTGCTTATGAGGCTGTCCCTCGCATGAAAATGCTCAGCCTGGCTTGCAACTTGGAGATGCCAAGGTCTCCCTCCCTGAATCCCTGCTGAAATACTGCATCAAAAAACAGGCGTGAGCACATGGACCCAAAACCGACACAGTTTGCATGGGGCTGCATCCTGGCCTGCCAACCCTCTGCTCTCCCTGGACCCCTGGCACAACCTGCTCATCACCTCCTTCTGACCACCAAGCCCAGATTCGGGGTTCTCACTACAAAAACCCTGGGGGGTTTAAAACATTTGGCCTTTGGCCTGTGGGTTGGTGCAGGACTGAAATCTTTGGTTTGTACTGAAGTTATGTAAATGAAGGTGTAGTCATCCTAAAAAGCTCCCCCAAACGATGCCAGGGAAGAATTCATTAAAAACACCCATATCCAGATGCACTTTCCCCCTGAACCCTAAATGCAGGGCAGAACCCCTCACTCATCCTTGCAGGCAGAGACGACCCCTTGCTCCAGGCACTGCTGCTGGGGAAAGGGGAGTTTGCAAGGAAAAAGTCTTGGGGAGGGTCTCAGCTGGCCCTGAACCAGAGGGGCGTAGAGGCACTTTACCCTACGGACTCCCCAGGGGTCCCAGGACGTGTAAACATGTGTTGCTCCATGATTTTCCCTAGAAAAGTGTGTTCATTTAAATCTCTTTGCCACCCCAACCATGGCAACGCTCTTGCTCTCACACACACACACAAAAAGATTTATAAATCTGTCTTTTTTTTTTTTAAATTTTTTCTTTTTTTTTTAAAAAGGACTCATCCAAAGATCTGGATAATAAATTATTTGCGTTTCCTAAGAAACTTTTTTTTTCCTTTTTTTCTTTCTTGTTTGCCTGTTAAGCTGTCTGAAGCTTTTGCCAGAAGCAAGCCATTAGACTAGATTGTACTCATCCCTTCAATGCAGAAATGCTATTAAAGGAGGAGTAGGGTAACCCAAACAAAGAAGGAGAAGGAAAGCCCCCATCCCAACTCGAGAAGCCCTAATTCCTCCCCATGCCATGAGGAGAAGGAGGAAGAGGAGGAAGAGGAATGCTGCGTAACACTTGAATTCCTTGTAAACGCTGAGGATGGGTCTCTAAGGCTGACAGTGATGCGGGAAGGGAGGGAGAAGCGACGGCCTTGGCCCTTCCTCACTCAGCTGCTGCCTGGGGATGGATGTGCCTCCCCCCGCTGTCAGGGAAGGGTCCCCCCCTCACCCCCTGTTTCATCCTT